TCTCTCTCTCTCTCTCTCTCTCTCTCTCTCTCTCTCTCTCTCTCTCTCAAATTATTGATTATTTTATTTGGTAAAATACAGTACAAGATGTAACATAATTTTTGCGGTAATTTAAAATTTATTAGGACTTAATTATTAAATTACAATCGTCATACTAATCACACATATTTATATATACTGTACATAATTTGTTTACCTTGTTTGCCACGAACATCTAGTCTGCCTACCATTATCTGCTGATTACGTGTGGCTATCGGCTAGTCATTGAGTCCACACAATTAGACACACAAAACAATTTATTGAGGCGTAAAACTGGTATAAACTAATGGCAGAAAGTAAAAGGCAATACATGTATGTATGTTAACCTTAAATATAAAGTTTCGTAACTATTGATTAAATTAATTATAATTGCAATTAATATTTAGTAATTGGTATGCAGTATAGGTATTAATAATAATATAAATATTAATTGCAATGTAATTGTATTATATCAAATCAGTGTATTTGTATTGTTTAGTTAAGTTTGTATTGTATAGTATTGTATAGTTTTGGCATTTGGTTATTTGTAATTAATAAAATAATTATAAGATATAAATATTACAAATATATTGTAATATTTAAGAATATTCTAGCTAAATTATATTGAGATATATTTATAATTTAATTTACAAATTAAATTCTTTATATTAATTAAAGTTTATTTTGACGCAAAACACTACACGTGCCAAACACTTACATTATAAATAAGGACACCAAATGGGTGCGTTTTGGGTGCATTCGTCACGGAAAAAGTAATTTTTTGTGCGAAACAAAAATAAATTAAATTAAATTTCATAATTTTTACAGACATAATATTTTTATACACATGATGCATTCAACAATATTATAATTTTGATAGAGTCTATGTTAAATATATACTATTATATTATGTTTTATTTGAATATTAATTTAAATTTTATATTAATTAGATCTTTAATTATTTTGTGTAAATTGTTCTGTTGTTGACTATTTGTGCCAACTCTTGGCCATCGATTTAAACCGATCTTTGAGTGAGAAATAACTTTCACTTTAACCACAATCTAACTTAAATTTAATTTATTTAACCATAATTTACTTTACTTTAATTTAATTTTTGACCAATTTGACATTAATTTTCACAATAATTTTTATTACATAACAGAAATTACTAGACTGAAAAGAATAATTTAAAATACTTTTATTGTTTATATAATCTAAATTTCATTAAAGCATAATATAATAGTATATATTTAACATAGACTATCAAAATTAAGATATTGTTGAATGCATTATGTGTGTAAAAATTATGAAATTTAATTCAATTTATTTTTGTTTCGCACAAAAAATTATTTTTTTCCGTGACGAATGCATCCAAAACGCACCCATTTGGTGTCCTTAGTAATTTTATTAAAATGTTAAAGCAATATGTTTACTGCAACAGTAGTATTATATTATAGTGTTAATTTTTATAAATTTTTCATAAACACTTTGTGAAACATTGAATAGTTTTACAATATACCTCCAAACATGTACCAAATTTGTGGCCTATTGTTTCCAATTGGCCGATAAATATGACTCGAAATTAGCAACATTTGTGATTCATAGGTCGCCGTAAAGTTGCGTAATACAAAGCCTCGCCATTCATCGTAAGCGTCTAAGTCATGGGTACAATTATTTTTACCTAAATCGTTTATACCAGTCCAAAGGCGTTCAAAATGTAAACCATCTTTAAACCACTTAAGTGTTAAGTCAATCAAATTGAAAACATCTCGTTCAGAATGTGCTGATACCAAAGTAAGCTCCAACTGTTCCGGGATTTTAGACAAACCACTGGTAATCGTAGGCATTGTGTCATTGGTTACGTTGCCATTTACTTAATACAAAAATAAATCATTGTATTGCATTGGAATTTGACTTTGAATTGCATGAATTACACAAGGTCTTTTTTTAAATAAGTTTTTTTAAAACAGTTAGTATTTTTAACAACTATTCATTTATTTAAAAAAATGTGATTAATGAGATAGATCGGCCCCTTCCCTTGTACTCACTTTATGAGATTTAACTTGTGATTCCATGTTAATTCTATGGCTATACTTTAACATGGGCAAACTCTCATAGGATAACATGGGAACGCTTTGACATAGAGTTCTATGTGATTATATAGTGTTTCCAAAAGCTTCCGGAATGGCAGGAGTCTCCAGGAATTGAGATCCGCCTTCTGTCTACCCCCTTGATATGGGAAGCTCAAGGAATTTAAAATGCTATTTAAACCGTATATTTTATGTAAAATATATATAAGGACAATTTTAATTTACTTTAAATAGATGTTAATATATTTTAATTAAAAATGTTAAGTAACCTTGATTATTACTTGGATCGTAATCTGGATTAAATTGATAAGTAAGTGATATAAAAGGCAACTCTGAACTTGTAATACAATATAAATTACAAATTATATATTGCATCAATATTTACAATAATTATATCTGTTTAAAAACGTATCAAGAAAAAACTCAAGGAATTTTCAATTAAATATTAAGGAAAATATTACACAAAAGTACATTTCTTAAGAAAATTGAAATATTAACCTGGGAACATCAGAATTATACCTTAAGTCTATAACAAGTTTGTTTGTTTAACTTACTATGCTTTAATAAGCCTTTTATGTCAAGATTTACTTATAACATTTTTACATACCTTTATTTATGTCGATAACATGTAAGGATGTTATGCATGAAAATATTGAAATTCCGTGCGGTTTGTAAGTATTTTCCATCATTTCAGGCATTAATGCGTTAACAGTGTTTTCATTTGTACTACTAATAGATGACGTGTCCGATACTAATGTGTCGAATTTAAATGATTCAGGGTTCAAATCCATTTTAAACTGTTAATATAATTACAAGTTATTTTGGGATATATTGTGATATTATTTCAGAATATTATTTCACGATATAAATTGCGATACTTATACCACATAGAGTATTGACTATTTACTATATACATTTGAACGTGGCAATCCCTGTAAATAACGCAGGTAAGCTACATGTATTAAAGGCAGGCTTAATAGATGTTACGGCCAACCAAATGATTGATGCTTACAATGTCAATACAGTGGCACCGCTGTTACTAACCAGAGCGTTGCAAAATCATATACTGTACACTTGGTATGTCCTAATTTATTTGAATAAGAGTATAGACATATTTAAATTTATTACAAGACTCATTACAAATTTTGTAAACATCATGAGAAATCATATTTAGAACTTATAAAATAATCAAAATTCTTATTTCTAATATAACGATATTATCATGTATAAAACTTATGCAATAAAATCTATTTAAATGTTGACATTATTGTTAATTTTGGATTTAATAATAGTCATAAAATTATTTATACCATAATGATCGAATTAAGTTTTTTAAAATTTTGGGGCGCGCAGGATAGATCTCCCGTAATTTAAGTATTTAAGTCTAATGTTCCAATTATCTTATGAATATTACGGTTATGCTATTTAAACTTTATTAAGTAATGACAGTTTAAAATTGAATGATAAAAAATTAAAACACAAACTATCCGTCGCTTCAAAACGTATTCAAACTTTAAATAGCATTCAAAGAGCGGCCGAAATGATTGAAAATCTCGTTAACGAGTAAAATGAACTAAAAGTCAATTACTTTTTGAAGCATTTATTGAGATATGTATTTAAACCTTTTTTGGTATTGAGATATGAATTAACTTGTAACTTTAAAACTTTCTAACAATAATATAAAAATCCAATGATATTTGATTAAATAGATACATGTGTATAACTTTACATATGAATACATCGTTGT